ATATTAATAATCACTCTTACCAGCTTCATTGACATGATCGAAATCGATGCGTAACGAAGGATTCGCATTGACTTCAAGTAAGATCGGCTTTAGTTGATCAGTGAGAATAATATCGAAACCGATTTTTTTGACTTTGAATCTGATAAACCGATCAATGAATAAGACAACCCTGATTTAGAGTTGCCGCTACAAATTAATGTTTCATCCTGTTGGACGGCAAAAAATTGTCAGAAAATCATTCTACAAGCAACGGTTTTTCATAAAAGGACATCCGATCTTTTATTGAACGAAGAAGTGGCTATATATCGAAAACGCGTCTCCTTGAAACGACTTCCTCAATCACTTGTTACATTAGTCGATCATACTATTGATCCTCTTCGAACAATGCTTTCTCGACCTGGTTTGGACAACGATCGACGTGCTACCATAGCATTACATTGTTCGAAAACAATTACTCAATATAAATTCGATTTAATGGCTTTAACTATTGCCACAGCCGAAGATACTGCGCGAGCTCATGCACAAATAGCTATCGATGCAAAGAAAGAGTTGCGATTACTTGATGGTGATCAACCACAGTATTCTACAGAAGAACTGATCAAGGCTATTGACACTCGTGATGAAAATATGCAGAAACGTGCTCAACAATTCCTCGATCATCAATTGCAGTCTTTTTTCGAGCAAGCTCCGATGGGAATCAACGACGATGGCAGCAGCGTTCCCGTTGGAGCAATGTAATTATTTATAGTCAAATTACTGCCTCATCACCATTCATCGAAACTGACTTGAATTTATCACCGGCACAAATGACAATGTTTATCAAAGGTCTGAAATATATCACGCCTTGTCAAAGTCGTTTCTCAAGACAATCTATCGACGACATTATCACTGAACAATTCACATAATTATGCACTACTGTCAAAGGTTGTCTTAATGATTATGCTGTGATGGCTTGGAGACTGGAAGACAAACAGGCCTATTTCGCTTTGAAAGATCTACTCTATCGGCTACAAACACAAAATTTACCGAGTAGACTATCATTACGCGCTCGACGTGAACGTGCACTAGTGAAAAGTATTCAAAATCTATTATGCAAACGACCGGATATAATCGTTCGTCGTATAGACAAGAGCAAAGTATTTTATGTGAGCAATGCTGTTGATTTTGCACGCAAAGGTGCAGATTATATGGTCAAAACCGAAGCTTATCGAGAGGTAACCAGTGAAGTTTGTCCGTTGGTCGATAATTTGAATTCCGTAAGGAATTTAGTCCATGCGCTTCTGAAACACAAATCTATCAGTCACGATCAACACAAAATGATGCTATCCAAGATTAATACGTTGGAATTAGCTCATCTTCATCTTATACCTAAACCACACAAGATAACTTTGCTAGAACATAATAAGATGGTGCACCAGCCACTGGTGTTTCCAAGTTTTTGGACAAGCTCTTAGCACCTTTATTCTTAAAAATGGCTCGCGAGCATTGATTTGGTATTCCATCAAATTGGAAAAGTATTCCATCAAAGGTCATCTCAAACCAACGACATTACTTGTGACTTTCGATGTCACTATTCTTTATACGATGATACCACGTCAAGGTGCTCTGGAAGCATTGATGGGGTTTTGGGAGAAATATTCGAAACGTGGTCGAATCGGCACTTTATCCATTAATGATATCTTAAGAATGGCTCGTCTCGTATTGGATACCAATTGTTTTGCCTATGATGGCAAATATTATCTACAAATTCGAGGTGGAGCCATGGGATCAACTTTTACTCAAACATTGGCCAACATTTACATGTTGAAATGGGAACAACCATTAGTCAAATATCAACAGTTGCGCAGTGAAATCTATGGCAGGTCAGTATTTATTCTTGATATCAGGTAATATTGCTAATTATTTTTTTATTCAATAGATATATCGATGATGTCTTTATGACAACCAATTCATCACGTAATGGGATTACAGCCGAATTAGAAAAGGATAAGACATTGGATCAAAATATCGATATCTCGTACACAATTCATTCGACTGTCGAGTTTCTTGATGTTGCTGTGAAAAATGACAATGGGCAACTGACAACTTCTGTTTTTCACAAACCAGCTGCTGAACCATATATTCTACCGTACACATTAGACCATCCTCGTCATATTCATCGCAATATCCTATATGCTGCTTTACTACGTGCTGCTCGAATTTCTTCCAATGTCCATGATTTCACTATGGAACGCATTCGTATTGATATGTCCTTGCTGTTGACCGATTATCCACCTACATTTATTTCCATGCATACCAA